AAACATTAGTATAGAAAAGAGCAAAAGGAGGAATAGAACTTGCTATTTTTCATTTACCACTTTAATCAACATAAAAAACAAAATTGAACAAGGTATTTAAGTTCTCAACTTTCTCTTACTTGTATTGGAGACAATCTTCTCTAATATTTTATATAATCTGCAAAAGAGTGTGTATCTTCAATTAAAGCACTAATATATTTTATGACACATTTTAACTTACTTATAAAATTTTACATGACTAACCCAAATACTTATCTGCAGCGATGTGTCTTAAATGGGAAAGGGCCAGTAGAGGTCATCTAGTCCAGCCATTTGTTTTGCCAATGAGGAAAATCAGGTCCATACAGTTAAGTGACTTGTCCCTGGTCAAATAGTTGAACTTCTAGCCAAGACGGGTACCTGACTGGACATAGACTACCCACAAACCACAAACACCTAAAAAAGCCTGAAATTTATACCAGACTAAATACTGATTAAGAAATCTAAAGAGAAACTATGACGTCTTCTGTCCAAGAAGTATACAAAAAGTCAACAAGAAGTTCAAGGGTTAATAGGAAAAGATGCTACTAGCAAAGCCGGCACCAACATAACCAAACAAGCACCAGCTCCCAGGGTGACCAGAGTTGGGCCAAAGGCCCAGGTAGTCTTCAGCAAGGTGGCCAGAGGGATCAACAGCCAAGTATGCTCTGTCCCCACAAGACACAGCAACTACTGCCGCACAACCACACTCTGGCTAGGAGCACCCCCAGCAGTCTGTCATAAGATACCATGGAGGACCCTGAAGATGTAGAGCTCTGCACCTCAAAGATCCAGGACCAGCCTACTCCCAAGAATTGGAGATCAGCACAGGAACTCAGGTGACCCAGCAGGGTTGACTCCCCCACCCAAAAGAGCAGCAGGGGAGAGGGCCTACTCCTGGCACAAGGGCCCAAATCTGGAACTTAAGTTGTATAGATGAGTAAACCGTCTATAAATAAAGACATCAAAAGTATAAAAAAAAATTATCGTAGATCTAGCAATTACCCAAAAGGAGAGGAAACTCCATAACTTCCAATAGAGACTCAAAGGAAAAATGAATTTTCCACAAGATAGAAAAAACAGAAATCAATGGGTACTTGATAGCAAGAAATATTAGGAAATCAAAAGGCTGAGAAAAAAATAAAATACAAAATATATGATATCAAAAACAACTTACCTGGAAAACAGGTCAACAAGGAAAAGATAATTTAAGAATCATTGACTGAGAAAGCTAATGTTGCAGTAGATAGAGTACTGGACTAAGAGTCAGGAAGACTTGAGTTCAAATCTGGGCTCAGCTACTTATCAGTTGTATGACCCCGGGCAAGATATTTTAACATCTGTTTGCCTCACTTTCCTCAAGTGTAAAATGGGGGTCATAATAGTACCTACCTTCCTGAATTATTGTGAGGATCAAATGAGATAACTGTAAAAAGTACAGAACCTGGAATTGAGTAGGTGTTATATAAATGCTTATTCCCTTCTTCCCTCTCACTCCCTGAAAAACATGATTTAAAAAAAAAAAAAGCCTGAACACTTCATTTCAAGAAATCATAAATCAAAATTGACAGACAGAACTGGGGACAAAGTGAAGATAGAAAAAATCCACTTATCAAAGGAAAAGTCTCAGGTATATCAGAGCCAAAACCCAAAGTTTCCACATCAAAGAAAAAATACTGCAAACATTCAGAAAGAAGAAATTAAAATGAAAAGGAACCACAGTCAGGATTACACAAGACCTAATAGCTTTTACTATAAATGAGAGGAGATTTTGGAATACAATATTCCACAAGGAAAAAGAGGCAGACAACCAAGAATAATTGACCCTGAAAAGATGAGTGTAATCCCACAGGGGGAAAATGGATCTTTAATGGAACAGAGGATTTTCAAGCATTTCTAATAAAAAGACCAGAGCTGAATAGGAACTTGGAAATGCAATCACAAGAGTCAAGATAAACCTTGAAAGTTAAATTTATTTGTACCAAATAGAAGGGACTGTATGACGACAGAGTACTAAAATTCTAATAGCGGAAGAAGGTACAAGAGTTCCTTCAAAATCTTAATGTCTTCAAAGGATATTGAGGGATTTAAACAAGAAAAACATAGGACATGAATGTGGATTGATTCTGTTCTAAGGGTCTTAAGGGAAAGAAAAGGTAAAAAAGAATACAGAAAAGAGGAAACGGTAGAGTAGAACTTGCTTTTTTTCATAACTGGAATACATGACAAGCGTCTACAAACAGAGATGAAAAGGTGAAAAGAGAAGACATTAGATAAACCTCACTTTTATATGAAACAAAGGAAGGTTGAAGACACATGCACACAAGCACAAGTGCGCACATGCACATTCAACTCAACAGGAAAACAAACAGCAACAAGGGATGAGTTAAGAGGGAGGATAACTGTAGGGCAGGAATACATTAAAATAAACTTTCTAATCCTGAAGTGAAGATTAAATGGGAGGGAAAAAAAAAGAACTAAAATTTAAGGGAGTGCCCACCAACTGGGGAACTGCTGAAGAAATTGTGGTATATGAATGCAATAGAATACCGTGCCACAACAAAATGACAAAAGATATGATTTCAGAGGATCTCGGGTAGTATCAACTGATAAAGAATGAAGTGAATAAAACCAGAAGGACAATTTTTAGTAGGACAACAATATTATAAAGAAACCAGCTTTGAAAGACTTGAGCAATATGATCAATGCAATGACCAACTACGTCTCCAAAGGCCTTACCCACATTCTGAAAGAGACATGATGGACTCCAAGTTGCAGAAAGAGGCATACGTGTTTAGACAGTATCACTATGTGTATTTGTTTTTCCTGACTATGCTCATTACAAGGCTTTTTTTTTTTTCTTTCAGGTTTTTTTTTTAATGGAGTGGGGTTGTGGGGAAGCAGAGTTAACAATAATAATGCCAAAAAAGAGAGTCATTGAAACTTTTTTTAATGCACAGAAGAGAACAGAAGGCCTTGGAAATGGAACAATTACCTGTGAGGTCCTTTCAGTCTTAAATACATTCAAGGATAATATATGTAAAGCACTCTGCAAACCTTAAAGAAATATATACATATATGTTAGCAATTATTATAATCCTATAATTATGGGATTCACAGAATGTAGTTACAATTCCAGGGCTTTAGAGCATTTATAGTGTAAAAGAAAGACACTAGAGCTAAGTAACACAGTGGAAAGGGTGCTGGACTTGGAGTCAGTTAGATCTGAGTTCAAATTTGGCCTCATACACTTACTAGCTCTGTGATCCTGGGCAAGGCATTTAATCTCTGTCTAATTTCCTCACCAGCAAAATGGGGATGATAATACTCACAAGGTTATAATGGAGATAAAATGAAACGATTTTCGTAAAGCACTCTCCAAACCTTAAAACACTATATAAACGCTAGCTATTATCATTATGATCAAACACAAACTATCATTTATGCAAAGAATACTTCATATTGACAAAAATATGGTAATCAATGATGACACTTAGGAGGAGAAAAGGAATTCAAAAGTATCATATGATACAGGAAACAAGTGGCAAAAGGCCTAAGAAAAGGTGTGAATGGACCTGATCGATTAGAGTTCTGCTTCACTATACAAAATGAAGTTTGAACAGTATGAGTCTCTTTCTAGACCCTGGCCTCCTTGCAGTGGCTGCAGGACAGCTACCTCTCCTAGTACTCAAATTTCAATGTAACCTCATTACTAAAAAGCATTTATCGCATGCTTACCAGAGCATACTATTGTCAAAGACACTCCAATTTTGACTTCTATAGAGCTTGTTTCATTGCAAAGCAAATTCACAGGGACCCCTGTGAATCATAAAATAATCTTACTTGTAATGTAGCCTCAGAGCATGGACAGCATCAAAAGCAAGTTCCACATACTATGAGTAAATATCAAAGATTTACACAAATACAGGGGCTGTCTTCAAGAGTTTTTCTAATTAACAGTCTCATCAACAAAGTAGATAAATGCTTTCAATGAGGCCAGGGGACCTAGGTTCCAGTTCTAACATCCTCCAAAACCTAAAGACTGGACTTCGTGCTCCTCCCATAAGACTTTCTATCTCTTAACTCAGCGGAAGAGGGAAAGTTTTTCAGGGTTGGGCCCAACCCTGAAAAACTTTCCCTCTTCCGCTCTACCTATGGGCTTTCCTTCTTTATGCAGAAGGCATTCCCAGGTGTCACTGGTACAGCCTTCCCTATAAGATCACCTTCTATTTTCTCTGTCTATAATTTGTATTCTACACAGTTTTTTGCAAGTCCTCTCCCCCATTAGACAATGAGCTCCTTGAGGGCTGGGCCTGACTGCGCTTCAGCTTTTCTTTGAATACCCAGAATTTAGGACAGTGCCAAGCACCTAGGAATCGCTAAATAAATGCATGTTGACTAACTGTTGACTAAGGCCAATTCACGATCCTTCCTTCTTTGGGTCTCAATTTCTCCATCAGCAAAATGAGGATGGAGAGGTAGACTTGAGGGTTTCTAATGTCCCTTCCTACCCTAAAAGCTTCTGGACTAAATGTGCACTTTCCACAAACGCTGGTACAAATACAGACCTCACAGGTTTTCCGTCTCCATTAAGATTTCACCAGGGCTGCCAGTGAGAAAGGGAAGATGCGGAGGGTGCAATTATTGCTACAGGGCAGAAGAGACACTGAGGCAAGGAAGCCCCAAGTGTCCGCAGGGAGCCGGCGGCCAGTAGCCGCGAGTTGAGACTCCCAGCGGGGGGTAGTGGGGGCGAGGAGCGGGGAGAGCTTTTCCACCGGACGCCAAACGTTAGCTCCAAACCAGTGTCTAAACCCCTCCCGGATCCGCGACCCCCGGTCCCGCTCCCTCTCCTCACGGTTGCGCAACCCCATCCTCCTCTTTCTCTTCCCAGACCCGTGGGCTGCCCCTGCAACCCCAGCTCTTCAGTCCCATCTCCTACATGGGCCCTAAACCCCGCCCCCGACCCAGGCAAGAGCCCCTACCTTTGCTTCCCGCTCTTGCTCACTGGTGCCTTGGATTCGTTTCATGCTTCAGCTGCCTCCGCTGCAGCGGGCCGGTTTTCCTCGCTTCCCGGTTGCCCCGCCTCCCTGGTAGTTCTCTCCACATACTCCTCCTGCGAGGTGTAGCTTTCAAGCCTAATCACGAGAACTACGATTCCCACGATGCATCACGTCAAGACCATGGCCGAGGATCGAAGGAAGAGCCCCGGAAGTTCCTCGTGCTGCAGCTTTGGGAGATGTAGTCCACTTTTCTAGGTAAGACAAGGAAGAGAGGCCTAGCCAGAACTACATTTCCCAGCGGGCAATTGGGAACGCCTCTTTGCCTCGTTTCCTTCGGGTTTTTCTAGCCATCCAGAGGAAGCGATGTGGGCGCTATAGCAACGGTAGCTGGCGGCCTTGGCGCCTGAGAGAGAACTGGGGTGAGTACTGGGTGCTGGGAGAGGGGAGGCCTTTTGGCGCCATTGCACTTGTGAAAGGAGTGCGCGAAGGATTGTGATCACTCTCCCCATTTAGAGGAGTCCTCGATCCCACTCTTCAATCCAAGAAAACCATCCCGGGCCTCTTCAGCATCCTTGTCCTTGGGACCCGTTCCACCCTGCCCGCTCCCCATCCCCGACTGGAGGCCGGGTGCCCTCTCCCTTCCTAAATTGGGAGCTGAAATCCCCTAGATAAGTGATAGTGATGTTGATATTCATTAATTGGGTTCGGCCATGGTATAATAGTTCAGGACCTCATCACTTCAGCTCTCCAATCCATCCTCCACACAACTCCCACATTTAACATTGTTAAAGCACAGGTCGAACCATGTCAAACCCCTGCTCAAGAATCTTCAGTGGCTACCTATGGTCTCTAAGATAAAATATAGATATCTCTAGAATGACAGCACGTTACTCTCCTCACCCACTTTATTCCTCCCCCCTTCCCAAAACTGCCTGCTTGCTGTTCCCATACACAGTTTCAATCCACGACCTCTCCTAACTTTGCACAATCCTCACCTCCAATTCTTGAACCTCAACAGCCAGTTAAGGCTCAGCTCAAATACTGTCTTCTTCAAGAAGCCTTTCCTGATTCTCCCTGTTATTAGTGCCTTGCTTCCATTTATTTATGTTTTATTTATATTATTTATCTATCCTCCTAGTACAGTAAGCTCTTTGAGGGCAAGAACTGTATCCTCAGTGGTTAACATAGTACCTGGCAAATAGTATACACTTTAAAAAATGCTGTTGGTAGATTGTTTAATCTAGTCCAACCAATACTTAAGCAAGAATTCTCTTTAAAACATAACAAGTGGTCACCCAGCTGTGGTGAGAGGGAACCCACTACATCCTGACTCATTTATGTGGCTATAATTGTTAGTAAGTTTTTCCTTAAATTGAATCTAAATCAGATTTCAAATCTAAATTCAAATCTAAATCTATCAGAAAAATCTACCCATTACTCCTAGTTCTTCCCTTTTGGGCTAAGAAGTATAATTCTAATCTTTATTGTCCTTCAAATACTTTAAAATGACTCTCATGTCCTTCCTAAGTTTTCTGTAGACTAAACATCCTCAGTTCTTTCGACTGATCCACATGTGTCATGGCTTTGAGGCTTTTCATTATCTTAGTCACCTTTTTCTGAATTCCTTCCTAAATAAAATGTGGTGTCCAGAACTGAGCCCAGTACTCCAAATATGGTATGAGCAATGCAGAATGCCACAGGACTCTCACCTACTGTGTTCCAGATACTATGCCTAAGATCCCATTAGGTTTTGTGACTCATATTAAGAAATTATTTTTGTTAACTCTTTCACTAATTCAAAAATATTAAGTGTTTACTGTGTTCAGAGGGCTATACTGGGTGCTGGAGGAAGATAGAAAATTTAGATAAGAATTGGTCTCTTTCAGAAGAGCTTAAATTCTAGTAAGGGAATAAGTTGCAAACACATAACTATAAAATACAATTAACTGAATTAAAGATCTGGGGTGGAGGGGGAAGTACTTTGTGAAATCTTAAGAGGAAATGTTCATTAGAGAAAGGACATATAATAGGAGAGGTGGCATTTGAGCTGTGCCTTAATGGATGTTCAAGGATTGAACAAGAAAAGAGAGGAAGGGAAGACATTCCAGGAATAGGGAACACTGAATAAAGGCAGAGACTAGAGAGAAGAGTATGTTCCTCTATAAAGAGTAATCCAGTTAGTAAAGAATGATTAGACGAGAGATATGAGATAAGACTGCTTTTAAAGGTAGAGTAGCACCAAATACCTCACATACCATACAAAAGATTTTGATCTTCATTCACTAGAAAATCACTGAAGATTTTTGAGAGCAATATAACACAAACATGTCAATAGAAAGTACAGTAGGGACATAATTATTAAAACTGGTAAAACTCATTTTCCATGTTAGGGAAGTTCAATTTAACAAAATTTATTAAGCACTTACTATGTGTGAAGCATTGTGTCCTAGGAATACAAAGATGAAAAATGATAAAACTCTTCCACTCATAAAATGAAGATGACCGGGGGGCAGGGAGGCAGGAAGATATATGACATGTCCAGATATGTATATGGTACAAGGTAGAATATGACAGAGCAAAGTTGAGTCAGGTGAAGTCCTATGAGAAGTTTGAGTAGATCACTTTCCGTTGTAGGGATCAGGTTATAAGAAGGTGAGAGAAGGTATGGGGTAAGAAGTGATATCTGAATTGATTTCTTAAAGGAAAGGAACAACTTCAACAAGTAGAAATATGTCAGGTATCTGTTCTACCAACTAAGAACGACATAAACAAAGGCTCAGAGGCAGGAGAAGATAAGATGAAAACCAGGAATAGAGTAGTTTAGTTTGGGATACAGAACATATAAGAAAAAAAGCATTATAATATCATGAGATAAAGGTAGACTGGTATAGGCTAGAATATGGAGGGCCTTGAATACCATGGTCAGAAATTTCCAATTTATTTGATAGGCCATGTGGAGCCACTGAAAGTTTTTGAGTGGAGGAGTGGCATCAATCAATAAGGATTCATTAAATGCCTCTTTGTGCCAGGCATAATATTAGTAACTAGGGATACAGAAAATGAAATAGTCTCTGCCCTCAAGGAGCTTTCATTCTATCAGGGAAAACAACATGTAGAGAATTAAATACAAGGTAATAGAGCAGGTTGAGGAGGCACTAGCAATTAGAGAGAAGTAGTAAAGGCTTCATGCAGGAGGCAGCACTTGAACGGAACTTTGTGTGAAACTAGGGGCTCTAATGAAAAGAGAATACATTTGGGAGCAGCATGTGCAAGGAGTGCTTGGAGATAAGAGATGGAATGTCACATGTGAGGAAGAGATGTAAGCCATTTTGATTGGGCCATAGCATACTTGAGGGGATAATATGTGATAAGCCTGAAAAAGTAGGCTGGAGATAGATGGGGGATGGAGGGGCTTTAAATACCTGACAGAGTAGTTTTTATCTTATCCTAGAGGATTAATAGGGAACAATTGGAGTTTTTTGATGAGGTGAGTCATGTGGTCAGACTTATGCTTTAGGAAAAGCACTTTGGCAACAGTGTGGAGGATGGATTGGTGAAGGGAGAGACTCAAAGTAAGGAGTACAATTAGAAAGCAATTACAATAATTCTGTCAAGGGGTGATAAAGGACTAAATTATTGATTGATTGATTAATTGATTGAACTAGAGTGGAAGTAGTCAATGGAAAGAGAGAGACAGATGTGAGAAACGTTATGGAGGTACAATCAACAGTACTTGTAAACTGATTGGATGGGGGAGCATGGGGAAGGGTGGCAATGTAAGAGAATGAAGAGTGGAGGATAATTCCATGATTGCAAACCTAGGTAACTGGAAGAGTAATATCTTTGCTATGAACCTGTGATGAGGCAAAGTAGCCTATAGTCACTTTCTATTTGCTGTTTCTGCAGCCTGAGGCTGGGATAGATCCTGGAGAGTTGGGGTGGCTATTTGGAGATCGAGAGCAGAGACAAGATGTGGAGCAGTGCAGGACCGGACCATAGTGAAAGTGGATGGGAGTGGCTGCTACCATGAAAATCCCTCTAGTTTCAGTAATACCAAAATTTTCTCCATTTTATCCAACTGCTTGCCGAACCAATTAATGGTGAGTTCTAAATCTGTAATCCCTTCCTTGATTCTCTTGGCACTGAGGGTCAAGGGAAACAAGACAATTAGAGGGAAGCCTACCACTTATTTATTGTCTTTCAATAAATCAGATGGCCTGGAGGGAAACTGGGTTTAAATCTGTCTCTGCCATTTACTACCTATGTATATGGTATGACAACCTCTCTGGGCCTCCTTTTCCTCATCTATGTAAAATAAAGGGATTGGACTAGATGACTTCAGAGGTGCTGTTTAATATTTGGTGAATAACTGAATTGCCACTTACCACAGGGAGACTTGTAATGTGGTTCTTCTCACAGGTATATATAGGTATTTGATATTTTGTAACTTACAAATCTACAGTCCAAGGGGTGTTTGGTTTTTCAAACAGCTACATTTACAGTGGAAGAAGCCTTCAGGGAAGGTGTGACACTGTGGTATATTGTGTGTCAGGTAAAATGTCTTAAACCATGACTTTTATTTGATACAATTTTCCATATGTGCAGCATGTTTATAAACTTTTTAAAAAAGCAAATTAATTGTCATCAGTATTTTTGTATTACGCTGTTAAAATCCTAGTGTTGAGGGAATTAAGGCCACAAGGGAACTATTTGACTAGTCAACTTCAAAAATTCCTCACCTTTTGATTGAATTTGTGTTACTTTTATTTCGTAGTTGCATCAATAAATATGGTATTTACTTAGCCACTACTATGTGCTTAATTTCATGGCATATACCTTTTCTAGAAGAAATTCACTTTAAAAGAAAAAGTGAAATTCTTTTATGGATTATAACTGAAATTATTTGTGATTTACCAATACTCTAGACTTAGCAGAAAAATGAGGGTTTTTTGCTTTGTTAGATCCTCTCTTATGGTAATTTCCAAATCTAAATAATAATACCATTATTCAATTCATTGAGGACAAGTTATTCATTCCCATCTACAGAAAAAGTAAAGATAAGGTGTTAGCAGCTGTTAAGTAGGACAGAAACTTG